GGCGGCGTGTTGTAGAACAGCTGCGGGGGACACGCGAGAGCCACCTTGGGGTCAATGAGCATGTGAGGCAGGAGGGCACGGAGCCAGTCGCGCTCGGGAATCTGCAAGTCGGAGGTTAGTTTTGAGCTGAACTTGGAAGAGGTTGAAATCATGGGGGCTAGAAACAAGTGTGTTGGAGCGCGCTTGGCACGCTCAAGGAGAGAGCGCGTGTTCTTTTCAACATACCATGTCGGCATCGAGAGCAGCCATGAACTGGCCGGCACCGCCTGGCATCGTGTGGACAAAGTCGAGGGCGTAGTTCAGGTTACCGGCCTTGAAGTGGTGAGGGACACCGGGGTACTTGGGACGGGCGAGGTAGTGGACGTTGGGGTAGGTCATGGCAAGGGCGGCGATGCCAGCCTCGAGGCCGGACGACTTGCCGTCGTCGCAGATGATGACGCGGAACCGGTCGCGGGGGTAGTCGATGTCGCAGGCGGCGCGGGCCGTGTCGAGGACCAGGTCGTCGTCTTCGCCGCAGCAGGTGAGCAGCACGTCGACGGTCGGGACCTCGTCGCCCATGAGCCTCAACTTGGGGCGATGGCGCTTCTTCATGGAGAAGATGGTCCAGATGTTGTGCATAATGGCGGGGATGGCGACGGCGACCTCGACGGCGACGAAGACCCAGGCCTGCGCGTAGACCTCCTTGGCCAACCGCTGCGCCGTGATGACGCAGTAGATGCGGAGGCCGAGATAAACGAGGTACATGCCCGTGGCGAGAATAATGAGGAAGGGCAACAAGCGGAAGACGTGGCGCTTCCAACCCTTCCAGATGTCCGCATCGTCGCGCTTGTGTAGTCTCGCGATCGAGTCGCTCCCCTCGACCCATTCCTTGACGAGGACCGGCGAAGCCTGTCCCGGCAGCAGGTTCTGCAAGCTCTGGTGGCTCTGGTTCTGTTCATCTTGTCAGCGGGCCAGAAACATATAACTGCGTGAGGGGGACGGGAGTTGTATCCCTTTCGGTTTGTTTCTTACCATGGGGCTGTTGGGCGCGGAATCAGTCGACCACGGGTGCCTCGGAGGAGGCAGGTGATCGTTGTCGAACGGCGTATGTATGCCGCTCCTCATCGTCGGCGTAGCCGACCTCGAGTCGACGGGAGTGTCCATGCCCGAGATCGAGGGACCGATTGAAGGCGCGCCAGCTATGCCCGAGTGACGGTTCGCCCACCCAGGAGGACCGTACTCGTCCCCGGGGGCCATCATTTGCGGGTATTGTTGTTGTTGTTGTTGCTGCTGCTGCTGCTGCTGCTGCTGCTGCTGAGGCTGCAATGGGAACTGGTCCTGCTGCTGATAAGGCGAAGGGGCGTTGTTCGTCAGCGGACGTCCGTACGCCTCCGGGCCCGCGTAGTTGGGATCGGTGTCGTAAGGGTTTTGAGAGTACTCTTGGTATTGCTCCGGGTAGTGGCCCTGCTGCTGACCGTTCTGGTAGGGCGGCTGATACTGATGTTGGTGAGGGTGGTGATGGCCTTGAAGAACATCGATTTCCACCATTTCCCCCTCGGGGTGATCTTGGCCCTGCTGGCCTCCGTGTCCCCTCATCATAGCTGCGGTGTTACCCAACCGACGGTTGGAATGAACGAGTGAATAGCGTTTCTAGGGCGGACGCTTCCACCGTGTAAGAAGAAGCTGACCACACGTAAAACAGAAACGATGGTGCCCGCGGGTCTCGGTCTCCCTTCTGTTATCTCTCGCTCTCTCTCTCTCTCACGCTCTCTATCCCGCCAGTTTCAGTTCGAGACTGAAGGTTTGTTGTAAAAACGAGTGTGGGTTGGTGGATGGTAATGTAAAGGGAGAAGATATTAGGATGGAGGTGAAAAAATACCAAGTAGTTCGACCCGCTTAGTCCATGTAATAGTTGCACAAGAGCATTGGCCCAGATGTCATTGAGTAGGTACCAGTGGAAGCTTGCACAAGCGCACCAACACGGACACTTTTGGCAAAGAGGGCCCTGGACTGACTTGACAGGCAGAAGGAGGTGTGGTGTGACGCCAATCTGCTCTGGAGGGGGAAGAGAAGGGAGGGGGGGGGAGTGCACAAGAAAAGAACACAAGCAGAGCAGCTGCTTTTCTCTTGTGTCTTCTTAGGGGCGGTTCGATTCGATGGCAAGGGGGGGGGGTTCGGCGAGCGGACAGATAGGTAGACCAAGCAGGCCTGGAGGGAGGGGGGTAAGGAAAGGAGCAATTGGCAAAGCAAGACATTTGTTGACTTGGTAGAGGTAGAACATCAAGGATATGACTTGACGGGAACCCACTCGGACTCCGCTAAGCCTCACTGCCATGATTATGAGCCGACGGGGGCCTGACGTGATTAAAATTGGTATAGGTGCAGGTTGGATGGAACCCACATCCGCGGCTAGTTCAGTCCGGGCACGAGCATGTCGTGTATCTGGTTGATGGGCGCGCCCCAGTTCATACGTAGTATCCGTGGCGGTATCCGTATACCTACTACAAACTATTGCCATGTACATTTCGAATCTGTGGGGGGACAAGGGCCTGTGTGCCTCTCCCGCTCCCTTGGACGTGGGAGAACATGCTGCCCTCGTCCAATGCAATGCCCGGTCCCGAAAGAGTCCGAGTTTGGCGCTGGCCGTGATTTCTTCTCCGAGCGGTCGGTTGTAAACGTACCTCACTCAGTGTGCGTCCTTCTGTATGAGTCGAGAAAAGGAAAGACTGATGGAGGATGAGAGCTTGACTGGCCAGAACTGAAGTCGACATCGACATGGAGGGAGACAGCCAAGCGCTTACTTCGCCAGCCCACGAACCACCGGAGAGAGGGAGGGGGTGCGTGGTTAGACTGTGGGCAGGGGGGTGAACGGCGCGCGGACACCGGGGGAGGGCTTATACAATGTACGGATAGACCATACATACTAACCGAGTAGCTTGTCTTGCCATCCCAAGCCCCGATGTCTGGTTGGATCGCCGGCCGCAGCGCCGTTGGTTTGTTGTTTTTTTCCCTCCCCCTCGGTCCTTTCAACCCAGGCCACACAGTCCAGGAATTATTTATTTTGGATCCTACCGCGGGCACGTTCTCCCTCTGCCCGCTCAGAAATTCTCACTAAGTTAGTGGGTGTTTCGGCGAGAAAAGATGGGACGGCCAACCAAGGGGGGAGGCAGAGGGAAAAGGACCAGCCAATTCTCTCCCCCCCACTTGGCACTTGGAAGCCAAAGAAGGGGATGGCTTCGAAGCAGACAGACGGGAAAAGTAGGTAAAGGAAGAAAGAAAAAGAAGCTGTCATGACGGGGCGACTCAAGCCAGTTTCCTTGATCTTCCACTGGCTCTTGGACTCTCCCTCACTCCGCAGCAGAAACAGGGGGCGGAAATCGACGGGCGGCAGCTTAACGCCTGCTTGCTTGCTGGGCTGTGCTGTGCTGTATCCGTACATCTCTCCCCTATTGACGCTCTCTCGCCCGCCTTTGCTGTAGTTACTGTCACGTAGTACCTACACGTATTGCTGCTTTCTTTTCGGTCGAGCCCACTGATCTGATGGCATTGGAGCACCGTACATAGTACGGATACATAGTACGGAGTACGGATACATAGTACGTGGTAGAAACTGCTATGCACGGCCGGGGGACACCCCGGTCACGTCGGCCAAGGCCGTGGATGGCAGTCCGGACCCCCCAACCACATTCAGGGCCGTTGCTCATTAATCCCTGCTTTTTTTTCTCGTGTTCTCGAGGCGGGTACCATTGGAGGGGCGAAGGCATGACCGTAGTCGAGTGATGCCGGTACGTTGACCACACTAGGCCAGGGGCTGGTCCGATTTAGAAGCAGGAGGGCCTGCAATCGTCGATTTTATCATCCAAGATGCCCGGAATGGCTACGTAGACGTGTTGGCTTGAGCCTTGGACACTTTGCGAGGGGATGTACCGACGTAATTTTGAGGCGTAGGGCTCACCTGGCTGGCGGTTTCTTCTTGTCCAAGAGGCAAAAGCCGGTTCGCAACAGGTGTAACGGCCGGGCGCCCTGAAGGCTTCCTGGTTCCCTTTCTTCGGTTCATGTTTCTCCCATCGAGCTCCGCCTGCCTCGGGCAGATCTGATTCACAGTTACACAACTGAACTAACTGTATCCGTACGGCGTCAGCAAGAGACTCGGCGAGAAGGGAGGGGGGAGGCACGGGTGAGGAGACATTGAGGTAATTACACTCGCTGCACTGCGCACAGGAAACAAGTCAAGCCTCTTCCGGGGTGGCGTGCTGCGCTGCTTGTTGGATATTGGATAGGGGTTCTTATTCTTCTTCTGCACAATTCGCTCACTGCGTTTCGCCCGACGCGCCTCGGTTCTGCATTTGCCTCTTCGTTTTGTTTTTTCTTGATTCTCTTCGACGCTGTCCCCCCCATCGAATCACACACAGCCTTCTCCGTACGGCTTGGTATCGACCGGACGAACCCCCTTCTCTTGAGTGACCTAACGGTATTGGTTGTGATCTTGTCCGGATACGTAGTAGTCCACACACGCCCCCTTCCCACGCCCCCCCCCCCCCGTCTCCTTTCTTCTCTTTACTAGGTATCCGTACTCTCTCTTCTCTCCCCTGGATACCTACCTGTCCACGAGTCGGGGGCCCGCGTCTGCCTTTTCCCTAACATGCCATTTACCTTGCTTGAGCTGACCTGAGCTTACCCAACCTGAGCTTGAACCATTTCCTTACCTGAGCCTTCCCGCCCACCCAACCGATCCCATAATCCTGTACCTTGCCCTCCCATACCTAAACCAGACTCCGAACGTCACCGACGACACCACACTCGCTTTCTTTGCATGTGCTACTGCTGCCGCTACTGCTGTTGCTGTGTACACAAGCCGGATTTGCGCCTGTAAAGCCTGTCCATCTCTCATCGTCCCTTGGATCTTTGGGGTGAGGAAAGACGACAGCCAGCGTAAAGCGCATCGCGAAGGCTCAACTTTGACATTCTTTTTTTCCCTTTTTATTTCTTTTTTTTTATTTCTCTCCTCGACCCTATTCACAATGCCTTTCCTCGGGTTTCGCTGGATCGTCAACTTTGTGCTGCTGGCCATCCCCATCGGAGTCACCCTCGGCGTCCTCATCGGTATCGACGCCGGCAGAAGCGCAAACGGCGACAAGCCGCTCTTCACCCAGCCTGATAACCCAGGGACGATACCAAAGAACAATGGCATCACGGCCATGGTATCCTGCGACAAGGCGTTCGGTCTTCACCCTCCGTCAAAGGGCCAGGAGTACACACGTAAGTCTCATCCGCGTTTTTTTATGTTTTTTTCCATGTGTTCCCTCGCTATGCCGGTTTTCCACTTGTCTCCGGGGCACATGCCTCTCTCTCTGAACATCATGAGATGAAGCGGCACGGACCGGGACACCCGACGATGCAGGCAAGCATCTCCCCTCGGATGCTCTTGCGCGTGCGCGCGCTGTCATCCGAACTTGGAGGGGTTGCGTTTTTTGCTTGGGACACCCACGGGCTCCCGTGTTTTTTTGTTCGTGTGTTGCTGTGCTCGCGGGCCGCGTTAAGCTTTCCCCCTCCGTGAACCGAAAATGGCAGTTTTGACTTTTGCTCCCTTGGGTTGCGAAACCTGTCTGGGTGGCCCAATCCTCTGGGACTGCTGTCTGCCTGCGCGGGGGGGAGGGGATAAGGAATCCGATACACATCCATCTATGCTTCATCACCATCGTCACACCAGACATGCTAACGATATCTGCCTGATGTAGTGAACCCGAACCAGTGGGGTTGGAACGAAGGCGAAGATGGTCTGCTTTGCATGAACGTACGTCAAATCCCCTCACCAGTCCCCCAATCGCGGTGCTTCGCACGTCGCCAGGTTTGAGCTTGGCGCATGGCCGTGTGTGTCTAGTTGAGGTCGAAGTTGGCTTCGAACGGGCGCGGTTTATGCCTGGTGCAGGCGGAAATGACCGTATCTAACCTCTGGCCCATAGGTCACCGCGTTCAACAACCAGACGTACCCGACCGACTTCAGCGCGCCCGAGTTCTACGTTACATGGCGTTACCCTCGCGGCCCGGAGACGCAGCCTGTCCACGCTTTCCCCAACATCAAGGTCGACGGTACCATCCTCCCGATCTCCATCTCGTCCCTGGCCAGTGTCAGCGTCGACGTCGAGTGGTCCTACTCGGTGGGCAACTACACCACCGATGGCGCAGCGGCTACCGACACGAACGAGGCCGAGCTCACCGAGAACGACACCAACGCCAACGTCGCCATCGATATGTTCTTGGACGACGACAAGGACAACGCCAGTGACAGCACCAAGGCCAAGTTCGAAGTCATGGTGTGGTTCGGCACCTTTGGCGCAGCGACGCAGCCCATTGGATACCAGGGCGGAGCGGGTGCCCTCACGACGCAGACGATCAACGGAACGAGCTTGTAAGTGACTGCCGCCTTGGCCCATGCGTATTGGAAATTCACCCCTGCCTCCCTCTCCCTCTCTATGGGTAGCTCTCATGGCTGACATGTTGTTTCGTAACAGCCAACTCTTCTTTGGCCAAAACAGTCTCGGACAACACGTCCTGACCTGGAAGGCGATGGTGACAGTCGAGCACTTTGTCGGCGACCTGGCGCCCCTGATCACGACGCTCACGACCATGAACCGCGCCAACTTCCCCACCTCGGCGACCTACCTGGGCTACATGGGTCTCGGCTCCGAAGCGCTCTCGGCCACCAACGTCGTCACCTTCCGCGTGCCGACCCTGACCATGGATATCAAGGCGTCCACGTGACGGACAGGATGAGAAACAGACCAAGCAATGGTAATGTGTACATTGGATATTGGACTATTTTTCTACTAGCGAGCATTGATATCTAAACAACTAGACTAATGATTCTGGGAGGGGGGAGGCGGGGCAGGGCTGGGGAGTGGGAAATATCGGGTCAAGATAATGATATCGCATTACGGGCACTCTTGTATATACACACATATATCTACCGAACGGGGGTTTCTACGGAGTTTTGTTTATTAACCAACACAACACACAAACACACACACACACACACACACATAACATAACATACGGCTTGGGGAGCTCAAAATAAACAAAAACTAAAAACAATAACAATTCCCCCCCTATTACATCAACATCATGTGATGCTTATCTGCTCCTCCCATCAACATCTCGCTTGGCCTGGTTCATCTCCACCTAAAAGACAAGGAGCGCACACATCTGGCAAACCACCGCAAAAGCGCCGGGACTCGCGGTCATGAGCCAGCCCACTTCTGCGTTTACAAGCGAGGCATCTTCCTAGATACACTAAACTGCTACGTGTACGGAGTATGTAAGCAATGCAAGGCAAGCGCCGAATACCTTGGGTGTGGGAACCTGGGCTCTGCTGACGACAGGGAGTGGCAGTCCAGTACCGGTATCGGCGTTTAAAAGCGTTCCGACTTGGGTTGACTGCTCCACCCCCCCCCCCCCCATTCCCGAAGAATCCTTCGCACATAAAAGGAATTTTGGGAATGGAGAATGCCCAGCAAATAGAACCTGGGCAGTATGCAGGTACACTACAGGGACGCACAGCCGGTAGGGCCACACGCTTGTTATAAACCGAACGTAGGAACCGAACATTGTTGACTATCGACAGGCCTCCGCTCGCAGGCCTGGGCCTTGGACCCAGGGCTTATTCTTGGACAAGGTCTGGAAGGGAGATGCCTCCAGATGGGCATTGAGAGGGAAATGATCCCCTCTCCACCCCACCCAAAGACGTCAGAATGCTCAGCTTCGCCAGGTTTGCCCCTCCCCCTTCTCGGCCTGAGCGGCGCAAAGGGGTTTTGGTCCAGGGGGGGAGCGCGTTCCATGGTTGTGGTCGGTTCAGTCAGTCGCGTCACCCAGCTTGACAACCCGGGCTGTGCCTGGAAGCTGGCTCGGCGCGGGCAAAGTCCACGACGCAAGATGCCCCAACAACGGTGTAACCCACAGCCCACTTGTCCGGAAACATCGAGAAGAGGGAAAGGCGATGGTCGCGTTTTGCATATTTTTCGAGATTTCTCTTATATTGCAATCTATTGGGGGAGGGGGTGGAAAGCCCCAGAGCCGAGGCCCTCTCTCTCTCTCTCTCTCTCTCTACCCCCAGTCTCTCCAATCAGAAATGCATGGCGAGTCAAGGTCGTCATAAGTGTTCAAGGTGCAACCAGACACTGTCTCGGCCGGTCGAGCGACTCGAAATTCCAGAAACCCTACCCGCCTCTGCCGTGAGCTCGCGGATCTGTACGCCGAACGGGAAACTCGAGTCATTCTTTGCATACCAGCTCTTTCGTGTTCCTGCGCCTGGTTGTGTGACCACTGCAGCTCGTTTTTTTGCTCCACACGTTGCTCTCTACACGTACCTATGCACCCTCTCCCTTGTTGACAGTGACCAAGGAGGGGCTGCTGCGGCGACAGAAAGGAAATCGACGGCTTCATCGTGATTTAGCATCTTGGTATTTTTAGTTGCCACTTTTGGTCAGGGTCACCGCTGTTTCCACGTTGTCATGCATGTGATGGAACCATTCTTCATACAAGGTCGATTGGCATTTGAATTGGCCAAACCGAGTTTCTGTTGAAATTGGCTAGGGATGAAGGCACGTGACACTGATCACTTACAATGGAACAGTGGCTAGGAGATAATCACGAATCTCAGTTGGCTTATTCTCTACTGGCAACACTAGAATTGCCTGTTTCCAAATAAGACATGGCCTTCAAACAGCCATAACAGATGACAAACATTTGAATATGCATGAGGTGAATTTGAGGGCGAAGGCATATGTCCTGGGAAACAAGACAATGTTTGCGTATGCTTGTGCACATGTACTGAAATTGGACATATACTCTTTGGATTGCAGTGACAGACATGTTTCGAATAGTGAGACAACCATAGGCTTAATGTTTGGATGAGAAGGGTACTGGCATTGGGATATACCGACAGACAGTGGCAGCAATGCAACACCGAAATCAATGTAGGCAACGAGCAGTTTCACTCGGTGTGACTAACTAGCCTTTTCATATAACCTGGGCATTTCTCACTGGCCTCTTGAGTATCTGTCAAGATAAGGGTGTCGTTGATAAAGCTGATAGGTCGCTCATCATAATAAATGAGTATTGATCAGCTTTACATGACTTAGAGACTCCTACAGGCCACCTTCAATGGCCACGATGATATTTTTCTATCCATTTATTCTCCTAGGCGTATACTCAATTAGTAGTGAAAGCGTGTAGTGGCGTGATTAGGGACTCTGGTTGTAATAGTGATGTGCAAACAAACACACTAACACCCTACAACGCAAAGCAACTCAGGTACCCAGTCTGATCATGTTAAGTTTCTGAGATCTGATCAGGCTTTTAATACTGATTAGAATCCCATAACTTAATTAGACAGGATAGACGGCTCCCTATTGCCTGAGTTATTACGTATCGGCTGGCTTGATTAAAGAGTAAGGCACTAGTTTAAAGATTTTTAAGAAGAAAGATGAATCGAAGGAGGAAGCATGATTGTTCTCTATCTAATGCGGCTGATCAGAAGGTTCTTATACTTCCTGACGCTGATCAGACTCTTCCCTTTTCCTGTAACCACCGAACAAATGAAATCCCTGTCCCCGCTCCAGTAGAGAGATCCGCTATAGTATATTGCTGTAGTGTATCCATACGATATAAGGCGTTGATTTCTGCTTGCGATTAACGGCGTCGTTTTTGCGACATATATGTAGTTTGTGTTGGCATTGCTCAACCTCTATATTCTTCAGACGACATCGTCTCGAAGGCAAGTACCCTTTGCTATACCCTTCTGAGATAAATGACAAGAAATCTCATCTCGTTCAGTTATCATAAAACAAACTCAATTATAACCCCAAACTCACAATATGGCTCCTGCGACTATTGTTGCTCGAAATGCCCTTGGGTACTTCAGTTGCTGTTCCGACACGAAGCGCACTTTCAAGACCTTGTAAGTTTGCGATTTACTTGGCTTATAGCAGTAATATCTCATTGTTTTGCGACCCGGCCTCTCATAATTTTCTGCCCTTTTGATGAAGGTGAGGCTCTGTGTTTGGTCGACGTGTTTACAGTTTGAATGACCCTTATTTTCTTTCGGAACAATACTGCTATTCTTTCTACAGAACTACATTTAGTAAAGGTTTGTTTCTTTGTTTGGCTTTCAAAGTCATGTGTGTCACAATGCGACAATAGGTGAAGGCGGAAACTACTGGCCCATTCTTATCATTGTGAGGTTATTCCATTGTTGATAGAACAAGTGGTTTGTTACTGAACAACAGCAATCCTCAAATCCTTGATGCCCAATTACCTTGGCGTATGACAACAGTCTCAGTAACATGCTCGAAACTATAAATGTTGTACAACTATATATATGTCGCAAAAACGACGCCGTTAATTACGGGCAGTAATTAACGCCTAATTTGTCCTGTGACAATATACTAGATGTTGTGTTGGAGTTTCCAATCATTGCTATTGCATCACTTGTCAATATCGAACGGACTCGACCTTCAGCAGCTGGCGTCTCTCAACTATCATTGTATTGCGAGAAAACCTCGCTGCCGTCATCTAGTATCCCCAACTCGAAGTCTCATGCATTTCGCATTTTTACAAGAACAGAAGTAGTATCTCGGCTCGCTGTATCGACAACCCGTTGAAGAAGTCAGCGATATCTACGGTCATAATGCCAAATACTAGGCATCCGCGATACAAGGCACACGCTGGCCGTGCCAGCCCTACAGCTTTGAACCGGCCGGCCGCTTTTGGACCTAACGCCCAACCTCCCCCAAGTTCCACGTTTCCGTCCCAAGGCTCCGGCGCTCCAGCATAGCCAGGCGCAGCTGGGGCTGGGCCGCAGGCCGCCGCCGCACCCGTCATACAATCCGTCTCGTTTCTTCATCTTCCGAGAGAAATCCGGCTGATGATCTACGAGTCCTGCGACCCCGAGCTCATCCCCTCCCGCGAGTGGCTCCACGTCCGGCTTTCCCCTCCTGGGAAGCCGGGTGAAAAGAGGTGGTGGGTTTGCGACATATGCGGCAAAGAAGGGAAGGACTGCTACTGCCTCCGTCCCGTGCTGTACAAGATCCACCCGACGCTGCTTGACGAAGTGCACGATTTCGTCTTGCGCAAGAACGCCGTCCACCTGGAGCCCGCCGCGTGGTTCGACCTCGCAAAGCTCCACAACCCGGGCAGATGCCGTTCGATGCGCGCCCCAAGCGACCTCCAGGCCTTGTGGACGCAGTTCATGGCTGGCCTGCGGAGAGTCGGCATCAGCATGCAGTGGGACCCTGCGTACCTCGCCGCGGTATATCAAGCCTTGTCGCAGAGCGCCCCTCTGGTGACTGAGCTGACCCTTTTCATACCCGGAAAGGAAAGGAGGAATGCAGACTTGGAGGCGTACACCCATTTCCTCTCACGTCTTTCCGGGATCCGGAGTCTCAAAGTGGTCCGAATTATGAGCAGGTTTGATAGAGACCAGGTGGAGCTAAGCAGAACAGCACAGCTGGTCGGCTGCCCCGTTGAGCGAGTTTGCTACCGCTGCGGCGAGGAAATGCCGTTGACGGGAGGACCTTGTTTCAATCATTGGCGACAAGTTATACAGGCGAGTCCCTCGAGCTATCTCGGAGATTTGTCACTGGATAACGGGAATATAGTCTGGAAGGGGGAGCTCGCGATGCTGGGCTGTTACGTGAAAAAGTACAAAGGGTATGACCTGAGTAAATACAAAATACCATACAATATTTGAGATCAGAATGAACTGGAAGTTCGCCGGAACTTGTACCAGAGCGGGCTCTGTTATCTCGGCATTCTTGAAGAACTCACTGTACTGGCTGTGATATATGTTCAATGAAGAGACATGAGTTACATTGAACAAATTAATAATAATACGCACTTCAGATCTTTGTCTTCTCGCATGACAAATTGATGTTGTAGTGATATTCCCCTACTATAAACAAGTACATATCGCGCTGCAATTATAATCTGAAGAGGCAATAGTTCATTCGTATTATTCCCAGAGCCAAGTAACGTAATCACGCCGTCTACAAAT